TGCCTGTGCTTGCATACAACGTTTAAATTACCCTCAAAATCATTATTCAATCAGTTAAGGATTATCTTTGAGGGGCTTGCTTGAAAGAGATCAGTTGTCAGTAGCAATAAAAAACACCCTACCTGGACCACCTTGGGAGCAGGTTAGGCCTGTCACCAGGAGGCCTCTCGAAAGGGCCCACAGGGCCGCTCACAATCAACCTGTCAATGTCACACATGCATGGATGTTGGAAAAACAAGATGAGACCATGTTACAAATCATTTGGCATCAACATGACAAGTGAAAAATTCCAAATGCCAAATCTGGACATCTACCTGGTTTTGATGCCATGGGTTTTTTGGTTGGTGCTGGTTGTCCTCAAGGCCCTGCTTCGACACGCTGTGCATTCCAACCAATTATCTATCCCAAGGTGCAACAGGTTCACAATTTAATCTTTGATGCCTCCTCCGATGGGATATAGTTGGATTAAAGCAGGGAGAAGGGGTGGGACAACCCTTAAAAACCTGTATACATAGCAAACATGAATCAACTTCAAACTAACCCACAGAGAGAAACAAAAGTCTTTCAAATAAATACCTTTATCCTCACTATTGTTTCATCTTGCAATGACTCGTCACAGCTCATGTGGATGCTTGAAGCAGGTATCAAAGAGAAAGCAGAAGATGAAGCTTCAGACATTGCACAAGTCAAAATGTCCTTTGAGTTCACGGAAGGTGACAGAATATCCTGTGAAATGTAGGTCGGTTAAATGGGGCTGAGAATTTGAAGAGATAGACCATGGTAACCTCACGTCCAACCAAGTCATCCTTTACCCGGAAATCCAGTTCTCTGGCATGGACGCCGTGTTCTATGTGGGCCCTTACACCTCGCCAGTATACCCGCATCCTGCAAGCCAGCAATTCCCATTCAATTCCCACTTCCACTCCTTTCCCACCCTCCACCCCCCACCCCACGGCAGAGGCCCCCGTGTTCTTTCTGAGGAAGTGCGTCAGCGAAGAGCTTGTCTCAACCATCTGTCACGGATGTCCCAGGACATCTCCCATCAATGCAAGCGACTCCCAAATTCACTGGACTAGTTGTTGGGAAATGGACGTTGGTATCTGTATTCTATATGTACGGTAGCTTACTACAGAACCCAAATCTGAATTTAAAAAACTTTTCATCTGAAGAACCAAGAATGGAGACATTTGCATGGCGCAAATATGTTTTTGGAAAAGTCCAATAAATTAATGCCAAGGCTTGTGAACACTGGCATGTTCTTTCTCGCGGTGTTATGCATTTCATATTTCTTCAAACTACCATCCCCAGAGATCACCTCATTTCAGGTGTTTCCATAAAGTGCTGTCAAAATACACAAGAAATTTCTTTTTTTGCACCAATATACTCCAATATAGAATCGAACATTTCCGTATGTACCTGGGGCGGAGTGCAAAATGTTATGTAAATCCCCTTAACGAACTTTTCAGGCTGCCAACAATCACCACACAAAGGTGACTGGCAGGCAGCACTGGTGCACATTTATCCTTTTGCCCTGGCCTGTCTCTCTCTGTAGCGCCCCCTACTGTGAGAGGCGTGGGGTTGGGTGCCCAGTGGCACTTGTTGCCAATAGATGAAGCCAGCGTGGATCCTCTCATGGCAACGATGCGGGTCGTTGTAATAATGTTCGGTTTGTTTCTTGCTTCACACCTCCTTTGGGATTTTGCCCAACCGATAATCCAGTACATGAGACGCAGAGGGAGGCATCCCATGCCTGTCCATCTGAGTTCCAGTGCTGCTTAGACCAAACCGGCTCCTTTGTATGACTCACACAGCAGTCTATGGCTTGCCTAAGGCACATTTCATAATGAGCGTCTATTATTATGATTATCATAATTATTGAAACCCTACACGAAGGGCACAAACTCCAAAAAATCAGTTCTTTAACGGAATGGGAAGGCTGATGAAACTGCAGATAACACTTTCTCTTATGCATACACACTTGTGGGTACACACACGCATTCACACACACACACACACACACACACACACACACAAGATCAGCATTCCCAAGCCCCTTACTGAGCGTTTTTTATCCTTGCTAGGCCTTGTCTCAGAGGGGAGTAAGGCCCCTACTGAGATCCTTACCCTATTCCACTGCAAAGCCTGTTTGGCCCCTTGGCAGCTCTCGTCCATTCACAAACTGCAGACAAGCCTCACTCTCTGCCTCACCAGCCATAAATTTATTTCATTTTGGGCACAACTAACCCAACGACTTGGATAACACCTGACAGGTGTATGTACATTGGCCAGAAATGTACCAAGAGCAAATTTATCTGCAGATTTGAAAATCACCAGGGTCCTATACTGCTGCTGTCCCCTCTGGGGCTGTGGCCTCCAGGTGGTCTTACAGGGATGGGAGATATTTTTAAAAAAAAAGGAAAAATGAGGGGAGAGAGAGAGGGTCCACACGTGTCTGTCCATGCGCATGTTTTTGCACGTGAGGGAGAAAGTTGTAGAGTGTAAACAAGCGTGTGTGTGTGTGTGTGTGTGTGTGTGTGTGATATAAACACCCCCTACTGTCCTATTTCTAGTCCTCTGTCCACACATCACAACTGTCAGTATGTAGTGAGATATGAGGAGGAAAAGGAGGAAGCAGAAGAGCCCTTCAGTTGGATGTTACTGCTGTGTTTGGCCGTGAAGCATGGACAGGTGGATTTAGCTCTGACTCCAGGATCTTAACTGTACCTTCGACCCACTGCATGGTATGTTGCAAATACAAATTGTTATTAATGTCAACTCAATAAAGCCAGATTTTTTATTTGTTTAGTTAAAACCTTCATGACCTCAGTCATGTCAGTTATTAGATTCCTAAATGGTGAGATTATCTAGCACTATTTCTCCTCATGTGTCTCATTTGAATTCAAAATATTCCTCTACAGGGGTTCACAGACAGTGCTGATCTTAGCCTGCAGGTATAATTTTCTATCTGGGGATTATCTCACAGTCCAGATATGTGAATTGGTTCAGGAGTGCATCAGAGGTGATAAAATATCATTTTGGCAGGTTGCATTGCTTGTGTTTGCCTGATCTGTGCCGTCACACCTCTACACCTGCACCTGTACTCTGACTGAGGAAAAAGGAGGATGGAGATTTGGGGATTTTGGTGGATGAGCAATTTAAAAAAACATTTTACTTTTGTATTTTACTTCATGTTAAAGGAAAATATTTAATTTTTTTTTTGTCTGAGCTGTGTTTTTCATCGGGGAGTTACAGAAAAGTGCAGACTTCAAGCTCTCGTTTGCTAATGCTCCTGGTTTTACTGTAATTTGAGATTTGTGGTGGTTGAGTTTGGTGAGACATAACCTGGTAGAATAAAAAATTGAAGATGCTCACATAAGAGTAAAGATTCTCAACAGTTCCAATGTTGAGTAACTGATGAACAACATGTTTTACTTTCAGAAACATGTTTTAAGATGATATTTAGAAACATCCTGTAGATCATGAGACATCAACATGACAGAAAATATATGTGCTTCAGATTTTGAGACTTGGAGTGAATGAAATGCTTTGTTATGCATATGTTAATTTATAAACTGGTTGGTGCTGCACAGACCTGAACTTCTGATTTACTAAACCTTACTAACCAAAGGCAAAAACAGGTTGTTTGTACTAGTTTTTATTTTTTGAAAGAGATAAATAACGTGTGGAGGCTGTGATCACAAATGTCAGCTATTATAACACCATTCTAACTGTTTTCGAATGAGGCAAAACAGTATTTTCGTCAGATTTGCTTTCATTTTTTTGGCTGTAGAAGACATTTTAGTAGTACATTTTAAGATTTGCTTGCTGGATTGTTTGTCTGGATTCAAAAAAGCAGGAGAGAGAAACACCAGAGAAAACATTTTCTATCATTACGTTTTTTAGATGCTAAACAATTTTGTAAAACCCAGTAAATACGTTTAACACATAAAAAGATGTTTCAGTGAGAATAAGCAGAAAGTGATCGCTCAGGCATTTGACAGGAAAAACCATAAATTACGGCTGCAGAGTGAGATGGCATTATGCGCCTTCACTGTGTGGTCCATCACCATCCACCCCTCTCCAGCTGTTCTCCCCTGCCCTTCTCCCATCCTGCTGCCACCTCACGAGGGGTGGCAGGCATAGTTGACCCTGGTTAAAATGTAACTGGCCCAACAACAACGCAGTCTGACCTTAAGTGGTAAGTGGAAATTGAGTGAGTTTAAAAAGAAATATATCATTAGATTAGGTACAGTACAGCTGTACAAATATCACCTGGACAGTGCATAATTCATTTCAAATGACACAATGAGTTACCATGCTGATAAAAAGAGCTTTGTCAGACCAGATGCATGTAATTGCTCAAAACTCCTATTTTAGTTTATCCATGGGGTTTAATTTGATATTTAAAAAAAAAAATTCAATTACAAATGATATTATAAGTGTAATAATTTTGTAAAAAGAAAATCAGAATTTTGGTTTGTTTGGTTTGCCGCCCCCCTTTGTGTTAATCAAACCATATAGCATGTTTTATAACAAATCACATTTTTATTTATTTGATCTCATCATATATTATTATTGAATATGGACATAATGAAGTTATACTTTATTATTATTAACAGCTTATACACACGTTATGTACCTGTGTGATGGTTGTACAACTGTTTCTGGTCTCCGTCTTCCCATGATTTGACCCTTTTAATTGAACTCAATTGAATAACTTTTATTTTAGATCATTCATCTTTTCGCCATGGATTTATTTGTGAAGCACTTTTAACTAAACATCTACTTGTTTAGATAAGTGCTATACACATACATAAATTATTATTATTATTGCCAAATACATCAATGAACACAATAAATTTAAAATAAAATATCTGTTTACAACTACAATACAGTCCGTCATACTCAATTTATTTAATCTGTAACCGCTGTGATGTCAAATTGGCCTAATTAACCAATTACATTATGTTTAATGATCAGAGCTTCAGCAACGCCTGTAGTTCCTCACTTAGCCACAGGGAGCGACATCTCCCAACATGATGAGGAACCAACTCACTTGGAGCTGCAGTTCAGTCCCAACCTGAGGGGGGGCAGCAGAGTGCCGCGAGGCATCCAGTCCGCCGGACACCCAGAAGAAGAAGAAGAGGCAGCAGCGGTAGAAGCGGACGTGTCAAACTGTCGCCATTTCCCTGAGGAAGGAAAACGCCTTGAAGACGGAAGCGAACACGTCCACTGCGTAAGTGAAGAAGAGGAACCTTACTAAAGTCACTTTGTTTTGAAGGAAGTCGAACAAAATGCCTCGTTAGCGGCTGAAATGTTTGTGTAAGACAGCGGAGAGGAAACCGAGAGGCAGATAGCGAGTCGCTGCGAGCGAACTTTTCCAGCTCACGTCAGTTCCTCAGAATCGGACTCTCTTTTTATAATGTCTTACTTTTTAACTCGTGTCGTGTCTCGAGTGACTCTAATGAGTTCTGGAAAGTAGTTTTACAACAACTTTCAAGAATCTGAGCTGGTCAGGAATATCGGCAGCTAGCGAGCTAACGTCGTGTGTTTACTTTTAGCATTGCACCTCAGTACGTTCATGTTGTGATGAGCAAAGGTATTATTTTATTGTTAGATACAGGACGACAGCTAATAATGTACAATGTTAAATCTGAGCCGGGCACAATGAACTCAAACAGATGTGTTTTATCATCATATCTGTGTCCACTGTTCCTCAGGAGAGACATTATACTGTTTATACGATGCCAGTCTCAGTTTTAGCTCTCAACATGTTGGCTTTGCTCTCAGAGCGGATCAGAGTTACAGTAGTATGATATATATATATATATATATATATATATGTGTGTATATATATATGTTGTTGTTTTAAATAAAGCTGTGACATACACGCCTTGGTTCTAAGAAGTTGATGACAGTTCAGACAAGCATGGATGCGTCATATCAGCAGATCCCATATCTTAAGGCGATTAAACACACATTTTATGAAAATGATGTTATATTGTGAGTGTTCATCTTCACATGTCCAGCTGTACTTCGACCACAGTCTCTAAGATATAGATACTCTCAATTACGATGTGAACACCGAACACTTTATGAACCAAAGGTCATTCAGCAACATGGACAAAAAAGTAATGGAAAGGAACGATTCAACTCTTGTTCATGTTGTGAGAAAGGGGATTTGCCATTTTTGGCAACCATTTATTTTGTTTAAAATGTAAGGTTTATACTATAGCAACAGATTAGAGTTTAATTGACATGGTTGGAGGGTATTTTCAGCTTGGTAAAGACAGCTGGATATATATTTTCAGAAATACTGAAACTTAAGTATGTAACTCAAACGAAATTTCAATACAGGAGTTGAGGCAGAAACTGAGGCTAATATAGGACTCTCCCATCACACTCACAATTTCATCAATTGATCTCTTGTTGCTCCACAGGCTTTTACCAAAGTCACTTCCCATCATCAGCCATCATGGGGGGTTTTTTATCGCTATTTAAGATGTTTGGGCAGAAGGAGATGAGGATCCTGATGGTGGGTCTGGATGCTGCTGGAAAGACAACAATTCTGTACAAGCTCAAACTTGGAGAGATTGTGACGACCATTCCAACAATAGGCAAGTCAAAGATTGTTAGATAATGATGACTTGCCTGGGCCTATGACTTTTGTGTGTTTTACATGATACAAATAATGCTATTCTATTGGACCTTATTACGGTGAAATGGAAACATTGAGTTTCTATTTAACATAATGATTATTTCCCCCTCAGGTTTTAATGTAGAGACAGTGGAGTACAAGAACATCAATTTCACAGTGTGGGATGTTGGTGGTCAAGACAAAATTCGTCCACTGTGGCGACATTACTTCCAGAACACACAGGGTACGTTTAGTTTCATCAACGCCTTACTGTTTGACATGTGTTTCCTTTAAATCAATCACTTGCTTTTGAATATTCAGTGGAAATGAATTATTGTGGTCTATTTTAACCACTGCTTTGTATTCAGAATATGCACAATATACACAAACTTATTTGTCCTCTATTTGCTTTTGTTCCAGGCCTCATCTTCGTTGTGGACAGCAACGACAGAGAGCGATGTACGGAAGCCCGGGAGGAGCTCTTACGAATGTTAGGAGAGGAAGACCTGCGTGATGCTGTGGTCTTAATCTTTGCAAACAAACAAGTAAATCATTTTTAAATAATTTCTTATATAAACAACCAGTTATTTCCATCTACTGTATATAAATACGGAATCCAAAGTAAAGCCAAAGCAAGTTGCGGCCTGGTTACTGGCTGCAGTACAGGTCAGAAACACCACCTTCTCCATGTTAGTGGATGCGATACACATTCTGTCATTTTAGTTAGTTCTTATCACACTGATTCAATTTATTGTCCAAATCATAATATACATTATCTCAAGGCACTTTACATTAAAGGTCGAGACCATAGAATTATAGAGAAACCCATAGTTTCCACAATGATCGGCACTTTGGCGACTCTGGAGAGGAAAAACTCCCTCATTAACTATGACCATCTGCCTCAACCAGTTGGGGTGAGCAGAGAAATATGGAGAGGAGAGTTGGGTGGAAAAGAGGGGAGAAAGGGAGGAGGGGGGGAGAGAGGAGAGGTATATTCAAATCTTAATTTTTACATCCAACTTTGCTTTTAATTATATATTTGATGCTATAAAAACGAAGTGATGTGATTGACATCTGAGACTGACTTCGAATCAGTTAAGCTTGTGTGTAGATGGGACCTCACAACCACTGCTCCACCCCCTCCCCCCCGATTGCTACTACGTAAACTCTGGCGCCACATTACATATACTCGTTGCAAGATGGCAGCGTTTCTGTCTGGGATCATCATGGCCTGTTGTAGTATGGACAAGTTTGTAATGTTTTCTCATTGTTTTGGGTTTTTTAGGACCTTCCAAATGCGATGAATTCTGCAGAACTCACAGACAAGATGAGTCTTCACTCCCTAAGTAACAGGCGCTGGTTCATCCAGGCAACCTGTGCCACCAACGGAGATGGTCTCTACGAAGGACTGGAGTGGTTGTCAAGTCAGCTCAAAAAAAATTAATAATCACAGTTCTCCAAAAGTGATCCACCTCAACGTATCCCTGACTTTGCTCTCTGCTCTTAAGATGCTGCAAAACCAAGCTGCCCTTATGGCAGTGGGGCAGCTTATGGCACTCTTCTTCTGCTGTGGTTATTCTCTTTCTGGCTGTTGGGAAGCCAAATGTGCTTGGAGTAAGAATAGAGAGGCCAGGAAACAAGATATGAGCTGCACATGTTGGCCTTAGTACCTCAATGCAATTTGTCAACTTTTTATATTGGATACTGTATAGCAAGATCCACGAGGGACGTTTCACTTTTTTAAAAAATGTATATACACTGATGCACTACTTGCAGCTATATATTTACTTGAACCAGGGAGTACATGTACTGTAGATTTCCATTTAGTCAACACTGGTTTAATATCAGCACTCTTAACTGACATCACTCCAAAATTGAGAACTCCTCGTCTGTGAACATTTACTGGCCTTTGTTATACAGTGTCTTGGTTTTAAATGAGCTACACTGCAATTATTTCATATCTACCTGCTTTGTGGTTGTTACAAGGAGAGTTTGTTGTGTCCCTGTTGGGTTTTTGTTTTTCTCAGGTTGATCACATGCTGCCTTTGCAATATACCTGCGTGATGTGGTGTGAGGGTTTTTATATTTACAGGGTGTTTACGTCATTAGACTGCACAGGAAGTATTACCCCACTGAGTACTTATCACCACAGTCCTATGCTATAAGTATAGGAGCTGGCAATATAAAATCAGTTTCAACAAAATGTTTACTGTTGTGCCATCATTGCAGTATATTGTTTGTGTGGAAAACTGGAGGTTGTACATTTGCAGTCTTATCCGAGACACTTGTTGTTTCTGTTTTTGTAAAAGTCTTGGTGTTTACTACTCTGGTTTGCAGAAAATGTATTTTTTAATAATTGCTTAAATGTTGGTAAACTATCTTTTTTAATTGTCAGGTTTTTTATGTAAATGTTTGTTTTGTGAGGGAAAAAAAGCACTGTGAGTAATTTACTGTAAATTTGAACATAAAGCCAATCTCCAGTGTTTCAATCTATGCAATAAACTTTCTGAATATTAAGGTGGATGATGTTGCCTCTTCTCCTTTAATTTACAGAAACATTGCACAACTTCAAATCTTTCTTATCTCGTACAGACAGAAGTGCTGACATTTAAGTCTTTGAATCTGTCACGTTGAAAAGGAAACATTTTCTTTATAAATTTTCCTAATTAATCAATATGAAATAACCATTGTGCGCCAAATAGTGCAGTGAAATAATGCTGTGATTTAACAACAGAACTAATATTTTGTGTCAGTGGGTGAACTGTTGGGGGGGGGTGTTTCACCCTTTGACCTAGGAAGAAATGTGAAGACACAACATGATGGAAACCACCCAATGTTTGGGTTCAAGCAGTAATGTGGAGAGCACACCCCGGTTCACATTGTGCAGGGGTGGCAATCTCGGACAGCATTCTTGCAGGTTGATTATGCTGCCGTGGTTAATGCAGCCAAGCCTATAAAACATGGCAGGAGAGTATGGTGGTGGTGGAAGGAGAGGGAGCTCGAGTCTTAGGACCCTCACAGGGTGGCTTTGTCTGGCCTCCTCTCCTGCTGCTCCATCAGCTTGGTTTGTGTGTGGCGGTCTAATGGTACTCGGCCATATAAAAGGACCAGCCTGGTTTTTTGCACTCTTCTTTATGAATGCCTTGCTCTTTTTTTAGTGCACCCCCCCAGGTGCCAGCCAGCAGAATACCCTCTTTCAGACCAATTCAAGACAAATGCAAACACTACACTCTATTATGACCGGTGGAGAGCATTCCAATGGTGTCGCACCAGTCAGGGAGCTCAACCTGGGATGGTGAGGGATTAAGGAGCGCTGGCAGGAGCAGAGCTGCTGAGTAAAGCAGGAGGCACAGTGGGAAAAAAACACTCAAATAAACACGCAACAGATTTTTCATTATATCCGTGATTTTATTGGTAAATTGTGCTGATTACACAACTTTCTTCAGGCTAAACTGTTTTAGCTCCACTTTTGCTATATGCCCTCTATCACACCTTTATACCACATTTACAGAAAATTATAATCAATCTGTATCAGTTTTTGAAATCCTTTAATTAAGATGTAAACACCAAGTCTCGGGCGAGTAGTTTCCAGGAAATATCCTACGTCACACAGTAAATGTTCCTGCAGCAACAATGTTCTAGGTAAAACATACATTTCTAAGCTTTCTTGAGTAATAACAGCTACAAGGGCAAAATATAGGAATAAAAGTAAATTAAATTGAACTTTTTATCCTGCAATATATTTTATCTAATGAAATTAAAAATAGAAATAGAAAGTATTGGTTGTATAATCACATACAATGTGTTAAAAGAAACACACCAGTGTCCTATGAACAACTGACCCACTCACTAGGTGAAAAGATAAAACATACGGCCCACGCCTGTTTGTCTGACACGTCAACCTGTCTCCACCCCCAGTCTGTTTGGTTGTCCAGGGTAAATGAGGTCTTCAGGGGCAGCCGAGCTGCTGTAGAGCGCTCTGTCCGCATTATGCGTCTTTGAATTGGGGGGGAGGGACATTAGTCGTCCGAGTCTGTGTCGTGGCGCCGCCTGTGGCTTTGTGTTGCACCAGCAGGGGCCATCTTGTGGCTGGCAGGGTTACGGGGGACAGGAGACCCCCCGTCGGAGGAGTCTGTGTCATGCCGCCGCTGTCGATGATAGGGGTAGGAGGGCTCTCGCTCGGCTTTTGCTCCCCCCCTTGAATGGCTGTCATGGGGTCTGGCTCCACTCTGACTATGGTATGATGGATTATGATGATGGTGGTCCTTTCTGTGCCTGAAGAGTAAAAGGAAACAAACAATCAATGGCTGTGGTGGGGATCAAAGATGCTTTGAGGCTGAGAGAGAAGTATCTGCCAGATCAGCTGTACAGTGGAATCAACAGAAAACACAAAATGAAGGCTGTGGCTGAAAATATCCGACTATTGCGTTGACAAATGTCTGTGTATGCAACGACATTTATCTGCAAATCACTATCATAGGTTGTTTTATATCATGAATCTTCTCTTTCTGGCACTTAAAGCACATAACTTACAATAAATGAATGTAACACAGCTGATTTCCACAATTCATCTGTTATCTTGGGATACATCTAATATCTGTGCTGCATCAACTATGTCTATTATCTATGGACACATGCTCCTCAAATTTTAAAAGGTGATTCTTCAGGTGGCTGTGTGTACGACAGCGCCTCGGTGCCCTCTAGTGCTGAGAGAGGAAAGTTTCTGTTTTCAAATGTAGGTGAAGGATGTGATTCTTCATTAAAACCTGTTTCTAAACCAAATGCATCTGTTTTTTAAGCATTGATTTGTAGTAATCCTGATAATTTGTCTATTCTGAGGCTAATGAACAATCTTTGTGGAGAAATGAACCGACCTCTTTCTGTCATCATCAGACTCTGAGGACGACGAGTCTCTTCTTTGCCTCTTCTTCTTCTTTTCCTTCTTCTTTTTCTCCTTCTTGCTCTTTTTCTCCTTCTTTTTCTTTTTGCTCTCATGCCTAAAGAAAAACAAAAGAGGAAAAGATTATTATTGTTCAAGTAAACATGGAAAACTGAACAGAGGATGAAATCTGCTCACATCCTGGAATATGATATGTAACGAATATTAAACATAAATACCGTTGTTCTGTTTCTTCTTTTCCTACATTCTCAGATGTTGTCGTTGTTGCGGATTCTAGACGACCCTCAGTCTTGTGGTGCTGTAAAGACAGTGTTTCTTTGACTGTTTTCATCAGAGTGATGATCAATATGTTAAAGACCTGAACTATCCTTGTTTAGTGACACTTGAAAAGGCAGCGGATTAAATAAATAAAATAAAAAAACTTACGGTAAAAACTGCTAAGCCCATTTTAACAGCCTCCTTTTCTTTTTCGGACAGCACCATTTTTCTTGCCCCTACGCTGTAGATTGTACACAAACACTCTGTAGTCACAGTGCATAAAAATAAGAATGTTTTCAGATAAGATTAGCAAACCATGTTTTCTTAATAAGAAAACAAGAAAAAACACTTACCTGGAGCTGCCTAAGCCTGACACGCGGTCTACATTTCTCTCCTCACCATCAACCTCTTCTCTCCTGCAAACATCTACAAGATCCTGGTGTAAATAGGATAACATTTGAATTATTTAACATTTGAATGCAGGTTAAGTCTTTAAAAAAGAGTGAAAACAAAACTGAAAAACATACATACCTCTTTGGTCAGGCCAGTTGGTTGTCTCTTTATGTTCTTGTGCCCCCTACATTGAAAGTGGAAAATGGAAATAGATTATATTTGGGTTGATGCCTGTATTTGTGATGCATTTCTACTATAAGAAGTTATACATACAGGGCAGCCATCAACGCCTCATGCTCTGCAGCCTTGACCGCAGCAAGTTCTTCCTGTTTGGACAAAGCTGCGCCGCCTTTTTTGTCTCTTGAATACCACGACAGGTCTTTGCCTTTTTGCCATCGTCCTACTGGTGCCATCAAAGAATTCCCTGGAAAGAAGAATTGAGAGTGGTTGAGATTTAATACACGTTATTTCTACTGTATCTATTGTTTTTCCATCTGAACCAGTCCCTCATTATGCTGACCGGTCAGAATGTAGAAGTTTTTATGACAAACCAGAACCATTCAATTAGGTACGAAACCAGATCTTCTTTTTTTTCAGAATCAGAATAATTCATGGTTTATTATTGAAAAACAAATCAGGCATACTAAGTGGATAGACATTTATGAGTGTGTGCAATATGATGCAAATAAATATCTGGATCAAGTGCCCTGGCAGAGATTCTTGTTCAACAAAGTTTTACATTTGAGATGCTGAACTGTCACATTAGACATCTTCTTTAACACGGGTGGAAACATCTACTCTATGAAAAGGGTTAGAAGTCACTCGTTGCTTGGCAAATATTAGTGTTTGCAGATGCTGTTTGAATATCCAGACTTGTGGGAATCTGTTTTACCTTTTGGACTTTCCTCTCGATGTTTGCACACTGATCACCTGCTGATCTCAAAGCTGATAAGATGTGTGCAGTGGCAACACGTCTGCTGTTAATATCAACGTCGAGTGTTTATTGAACTTGCTTTAACTCTCAGTCTCAGGTTATCCTGTTGTATGATTCTGATGTCGCGGCTGTGGGCAGCTGACATGTTGGCAGGGGTGCAGGCTCAGATAACGGAGAGGCCATGTGTGTTCAGGGAAAGAGAGACAGGGGGAGACAGGGAGGGGGAGACAGCGAGAGAGAGAGAGAGACAGGGGGTGGGAGTAATGAGTGTTCGGGACCTGCTGTGTGAAGGGAGGAAAATAGGAGGAAAACCGAGCAACTGGAGCAGCGCAGAGACTGTGGAATGAGGGACTCTATAACCAAAGGTAATGAGAAGCAGCACACGTGATGATAGGTGTGTTTCACTGCGCTTCATCAATGTGCGTATAAAACCTGAGTGAAACACGTCCGTCACCATTGAAACACCATTGAACTGTATTAAATCGAGATATAATATATATATGTTACACTTGAGAGGTGATCGCGTGTATTTAAGTGGGACTTTAGAGGCCTGTGTGAGTTAGCAGGGAGCTGTTAGCATGGTGTCTGGTTAGCGCTCACACACTCACCCAGGTAATTCTCTCTGTGTTTATCGACTTTCACGTCGTCCCAGTTGAAGTGGTCCTGTCCCCCGCGGGACCCTCCGGATCGCGACGCTCCAAACATCCTTATTCGGTCACTTTGCGACGAACAGCAGCGGAGCGTCGTTCAACACGCTAACTTTTTTTTGTTTAGCAGCCACGGTAGCACACGAGCACCGCGATCGGTCAAGGCCGTCAGCGTCGACTGATCCGGGGAGGATAGCGGTGACCTTCCGCGGTGATCGGAGCGAGTTTCCCGGCAGTGGTGGTGAATTCTCTGGGCGAAGAAACCCTGAAAATAAGTTCCCTGTGTTTTTTAAGCGTCTTCGGGGAACAAGAGGAACAGAAGAGTAGCAGCGTGTCACTCAAGCTAGGCTATGTAGCGGCCTGAAAACCAAGCTGCACCACTAACAGAGCCTCGCCATGCGCACACGAGTCCCAGCAATAAGAGAAAGTGTAGCTAACACCAAACACACCCGTGTTTCTCTAATACCCGCGGTGGCATCACGTTTTCCTTTAAGCTAACGCTAGCAAAACTTTCTTAGCTATGTCGCACATCGTCGCCGTCACGCGTCGGTGTTGTGGCCCGCATTGATGACGTAGTGGTCCAGCTTCCTTAATGGCTCTCGCAGCGAAGGAGGCAGAAAATCCTCAGACAGCCAAGTAGCGCTCCTCCCGATGTACATGAGGTTTTTCTCCAGGTTGTTGTCCGGTAAGAAGGAGTTTGTTTGTTTGTTTGTTTGTTTGTGAAACGTTGTGTCTGAGCTGCTTGGTTAGCTAAGAACCAGACATTCATCTGCCTCCGACTGTTTCCTGCTTCGTTTCTGTGTCTGAAGGTTGGTGTTGTTTTTACTGAGCTTCGTTCAGTTCAGCTGAGGCAGTGATCATCACCAGCATGCTTAGAAATAATAATGATTCTAATAATGAACTTCATTTGTCTTGCACGTTTCAGCTCAAAGTGCTTTACATACAATATAGATACACATACAAACAGGTTGAACAGATTTTCAGTAACATGAGAACGTGTTCAAATGACGTTAAATGAAAAAATAAAGCAAGACAATTAAAAAAACAAAACATGCATAACAAGCAGAGAAGAAATGAAGTTAAAAGGAAAGAAAAAGAAGTGCAATTAAATAAAACAAACTTGCATACAAAAGAAAAGAAAGAACGTTTAAAAGAAATTGAAATTTTGAAGGAAAAGAAATACAATTAAAGGAAAAAACAAGCATAAAAACAGAAAAGACAGGAAGTCATTGTTAAGCCTGTTTTTAGCAGAGAGCTGAGGAGTTTCTTAATGAAAACGAACCATTTTCAGTTCAGCGGTGGAAGAAAATAGGTCCAGTGTAATGACACAACATACACTACACAACATAACAAGGAAAAGTCCTGCATTCGTTTTGTTATTTAAGTAATATCCTGATACACTGTACTATAGGTTGATTATTACGATGCACTAGTGAGTATATTTTTGCTAATCTTTTTTTGTTAATGTACTTAACACACGTTTTAAAGGAACACCACAGAAATAATGACATTTATATTTTAGCCAATATATTCAGCAGTCAGTTGTCAAAATGACCATTTGATGAAATGTACATAACTTCATTACAGACTAAACGTCATTGCACGTAAAGATCAGTTCAGTGTATTTTCATCTTCTTTAGTTTAATATTCATGACATTTTATTGCTCCTACCAGTCAAAGTGCACTTTGCTATGCCTCAGTTAGATAAGAAGTCTGATTCCAGGTTGTAGACACTAGGACACTTTGATATTGAATGGAAACTGTGATCTCAGCAGCTGAAATGAGGCACAATGAAGAGCTCAGAGCTTTGGACAGAATAAGGAAGAGAACTGGTTCAACAACTGCCCACATGAATCCCCTTTGTCAGGGTAAACTAAACTAACACCACCACTGACAGTACAAACTGTTTATTGTACTAACAACTTTCTGGGGTTGTAACAATTTACTATTTTCTTTACAGAATAACCTTGTAAGAGTTTTCTTTTTTAATTATGAAATAATTTTGTCTGTTAAAAGGTCAAAGTCTAAACACAGTTTGCCAGATCCCGATGTAGTTTTCAAATGTATTTATGTACTAGTATATAAGATGACATTTAAGGTAATGACATAAAATACATTTGTTAAAGGCATAAAATCATGACACCTGGAACTGTCAAACATTTTGGGGGTTTTTAACTTTAATTTTATGTTGATAGAATAATCAACCTATAGTTTCAACTCCAGAAATGAACTCCTGTCATGCTGTATACAGACGCCAAATAGATTTGAAATGACTCAAACTTTGCTTGAAGCAAACCTAACTCACATGAGTGCACGGGTGCAGCTTCCAATACTGATCATAATGTCACGTCTCTCATTTCCTGTCACGCAACTCTAATCTAAGTACAAGAGGCTGCTTCTTGTGCAAGTAATTGGCAGCTGCAGGTCAATAAGAAAGGCAAATACGATTTTGTTAATTATTAGTTAGAAAGATTCAAGGATCAAATTAATCAAAAGCAAGATCATAGGAATATAAGAATATGAATACGAATAAGAATGCCTTTATTGTAGTAGCTTGTCTGGTGTGTGGTGGGAGTTTGCACCAAACCTTTGGTGAATAGCATCAGAAAGCTGCGTCCCCAAATTACTGTAATATAAGACCTGAAGGCCCATTTCTTAGGCTCTCGGAAATAAGTATTTATCTGCTGGAGAAGGATTTTTGGGTGGGGGCAAGAATATATTCATTCTAAATCAGGACCCTGGAAACGTTAGGGCTTCTACACTGACCTCTGAAAAAAGAACCGCACCTTTATTTAGCCGCTGAAGCGTTCAAGAGGCAGTGGAGAGTGGCTCTTGTCATTTGCACCTGCAGACACAACCTCGCTGCATCTGATATGCCTGGAGACGAGAGCGTGGCTTCATTAGTTTCAAAGAAAAGACCACAGAGGTCAGTTCAGATCACAGTTGTATTTAAGATGGAGTAGGCTTCTTTACAACCTTTTTTTCTTTTTGTAATTTAGTCCTGTCACATGGAATACCTAATTTTTGGACCTAACCCCTCAGATTCCTGCTGTTGATGTAAGTTTCTGTTGTTTTAGTCGTCTAATATGACAGAGGTCACTGGTTTCATTCGGCTAGTGTCTGTTGACAAGATGCTCAAAATTGTCACTGAAAATCAGCTGACTGACAAACACAGTCTGAGGTTCCTCTCAGTCTTTGGACTAAAAATAATACACATGTTCAGATCATTGTGTTTCTATGTTTATATTTATATTCCGTGTAGCTGTGGGTGAACGTGGCCCTGCCCTCTCTTTCCCTCCTCCCTCCTGCTCATAAGCAGACACTTGCCACACCCTCCAGTTGAATGTCCTGTTTGAGCTCTGTGTGTTCTCATGAAAGGTAAGGAGGGATATACTTCATTCACTTGAGTAGCTTAATTAAAAATCATCGCTAATGGGGAAAGAAGCTGAATATGTCACAGTAAAAAGTAGGTGAGACATTAAGAGAGATGCATGTTTTACTAACGTGTGCTTTGTCAAACACAGACTGGCTGTGTGGCTTTAAGAGTCATGTTTCTTTCTTCCTGAATGCCACAGACGTGATGTAAAACCTGCTGGTGGAGCAGGGGAAACATTATGTTTCAATGAGAAACAAATTCACACGTGTGACCCGGAGTATCTCCTGATAACAGAGAGCGACACCCACTGCTCCTTTTCATATTTTCTCCTAAGCGTGAGGTTGTATATGTAGTTTAGCATGAAAGCATCAGTGCAGAGTTTCAGTAAAGCAGATGCTGCCCTTCACCTCACAGTTGCATCCATATAGTGAGTCGGTAAACTTCTCGTCTGCTGCTGTGGTTTGTGTCTTGGTTTCCACGTGGCCCAACCCCACATCTCTTCCTAAGAGGGCTCTCCAATTAGTGAGTAATCGTTCCTCTACATCTCCACGGTAACCTCATGACTTGCTAACCAGTAAATTTCCTTTGCTCCTGCGGGAGATATTTTGGTCCGATCACTCCCTCTCCCTTTGAGAACCGCTGGCTAATCACTTCATGATTTTCATCCCACCAGAGAGGGGCTTGTCTAAACTTGTTGACCGGCTTTAATGTTTTAAAACCACCGTCTTTTTGAACTCATATGTTCGTGCACTGACGGATGATCCTATGATGACTCACACCACAGGACTCCAGTGGTTGTGCGCCAGTCCTTCCAACCTCAACCTCTTTTCTACCATAATCAACACCCTGCCTCTCTTTCAGCTATGGCTGGACCCAGGCCTGTGGTGTTTAGCGGCCCGTCAGGGGCAGGGAAGAGCACCCTGCTGAAGAAGCTCATGAAGGAATACGACAGTGTCTTTGGCTTCAGTGTATCGCGTAAGTTTAAATTCACTCAAGTTAACAAGCAATTGTAGATTTTTTAAAAAGGTCTGAAAATAATGATTATTATCGATCTTTAAAAGGTCATGAAATCCAGATGGTTTTTATTATCCATCAATCAACTATTGACAAAACGTCTCCTCATTCCTCAGATACAACCAGAAATCCTCGACCTGGAGAAGAAAATGGCAAAGGTACAGAAAATCCCTCCTCATTCACGACGCTGTTAAATTATCATTTCTAAACTTCTGGGCATCAGTTCAGCAGTTTTTCTTTTCTTTTGTCCTCATTTCAGATTACCATTATGTTACACGGAAGATAATGCAGGCGGCCATCGACAAAGGCGATTTCATTGAGAATGCAGAGTTTTCCGGCAACATGTACGGGACGAGTAAAGCTGCTGTGCAAGACGTCCAAGCCAAGAACCTCATCTGTATACTTGACATAGACATGCAGGGCGTGAGGAACATTAAAGGGACAGACCTGAATCCCATCTACATCTCCATCCAGCCTCCATCCATGGCAGTCTTGGTGAGAACACAATGAAATGCATTTCAGTAACCAGTCTTGTCACATCTATTGTCTCCACCTAGGTGTGACTTTGCTTTGTTCCACTGGGAACCAGTCACACAGGTTTTAGATGCTTCTTTTTCATTGAGATGTTTTTTTTAACTGTTTCAGGAAAAACGTTTAAGAGACAGAAAAACCGAGTCAGAGGAGAGTCTCCAAAGGCGTTTGCATGCAGCCGAGGTGGATATGGAGTTAGGTAAGTAATCACTGCTGAAAAACTCAAACCATATACTGTAAATGTTCAAATAATGACTGATGATAAACGTGTGTTCGTCTAGGTAAAGAACCCGGTTTGTTTGATGTAATTATTGTCAACAATAATTTGGAGGAAGCTTACGGGCAGTTAAAAAACGCTCTTCTCGAGGTGAGTCACTATTGCAGAACACAACACTCAAGCTCAATTATTACTAGTTGGCTAATGTTCTCTCTTCTTAGCTCATCACAGATTAACATGTTTTCAAACTTTGTAATATTGTTTCTTGATCAGCATTAACTACCTATGTTTGGAGCATTGTAAAATATTTTATTCTTCCCTCAGGAAATTAATAAGGTGAAGAAGATCAACATGTCCTCGTAGGAGACGCCAGCACCCTGACACCTCTCGGTCCGTCCAGCCACTCCTCTCAAAACCACAGACCTCCATTCCAGTTGTGTACATTCCCTCAGATGACGGTCTGTGCGTGAGTTTTACATTTGTGTTTAGAATTATATGAAAACATAGTTTAAAGTGGAACATTTTTTAAAAACTGACAAGAGTGTGTTTTTTTTTTATATTTGTATTTTCAGTTGTATAAAAAAAAAAAAAGATACTCCAAAATCCTTACTTGATGTGTGACTGGCATGGTAGAGTGCTCTCTATTGGACATTTACTGAACACATGGTCTTGTCACCCACACGGTCACATAGACACACACACAGGGTGTAACTCACTCCATCACGTGGTTAACTGGTTTGTCGAGGGTGTGAATAAATCCTGTATCTAGATATCCTGGTTAGTGGCAGCAAGTTATGCTGCTCTTATTGTTTGAATAAGAAAAACATGGTGGTTGTTTACTGACAGGTATACACGCAAATCACCACTGTAGTCGCCTCATAATGTGCTAACTCAATATAAGTTTGGTTTGTGGGATGAGGATAAATACTGATGCGCTCTAGTTGGATTAAATCCCCTGAAAGGAATAATGAATAATAGTTCAGAACAAAAGCAACAGAACGGGGGGGGGGGACAGGACAATTTTAGTGTTGTAAATTTGTAAAACTTTCGTATGTGTAGCTTTTTCACTTTGCTGCTTCGTGTGTAGGGTAAAATGACTATCAGTAGACTGTATGGGGTTTCTAACAAAAGGAGACATTTTTAACTACGAGGACAAATGAAATGGCTTATTTATTTATCGTTTACAACCAAGCACAAGATAAATTTCCTTGAGAGCTAAGAAAACAATATTGGCGTTGTTTTTTTTCATGTCAAAATGTTTTATTTCCTTGATATTGAAAGTACCTAGATAATAATATTCAGGCACCTTTGTAACACCCATTCCTATGTGCAGATAATGTTGAGGTATTGTTGTAAGATATAATTAATTGTTAATTAATCATCGTTTGCCGTTTAACCAGCAATAACATATTGTGCTTGTTGTGGAAATACAATGTCACTATGTACCACATCCATTAATTGTCCAGCAGTGAGACTGTTACCTTTTGAAACTCCAATAAATGTTAAAACACAACACTGGAAGAATCCGTATGTGTTCATGTAATAAAGAAACAAATGTATTTTCAGTATATGTATTTAATTTAGATTTAACACTGACACTGATGTCACATGTCTCCAAAAACTACACATGTACAGTACAAGCAGTTACAATGTGTTAGTGCCTTTAATATAAACCATCATCCTTGTGACTAAGACAAGACTCTAAACAACATCATCACCACACTTCACTAAAGCGTCAGTTACTTTAGTCACCTTTAAATTGCATTGACAAGGTAGTAGGTTCTGTGAGCTCTAAAACAAACGCACAAACATTCACTTCAGATATGACGATGACGGGTCAGGTTACTTCACATGAACCAATTTCTCTTTGGAAAAACAAACAACATGCAGCCACTCATCTAAATATCTATCACTTACATATTAATATCCCTGTGGCATCCTGTGAGTTCACAGGTCGTTGCTCTGCATCAAAATGTCTAAAAAGTGAAGTTTAACATTCAATTCCCAAATATCTGAAGAGACACGGTTAGAGATCCGATGTGAATCAGGTTGTTATAAACAACTTTCTTGTAGAAATCTCATATTTGTAAAAGCTGCTCGCTGGGAAATCATTCACAACCAGAGAAGCGGAGAACCTCTGTCTGATTTTACCTCGATGACCATGATTTGACCGCACATCTTTCATTTCACTTCGACAACTCTGACCTCAACAGTCACCAAAACACTGTTGTCAACGTTACACGATCTGTGTTGTGTATTTAAATTAGCTTAGTTCTGAAAAAGACATGTTGTCATGACGTCATAAACAGTCAAGAACTCTCAACGTTTGCTGATCCAGGAATTCAAGGCACTGCGAATGTGCAAAGGTACAAAAGTCAAACCGCAAAGATTAATATCTAAACTATTTGTTAATGAATATGGTAAACGTTCATGAAGATCATACATGGATTAGGTGATATTAGTAGATCAGTATTTATGATTTTGTGAAGTTATTCATGAGGGAAACATTTTATTTTACAAAATCTTTCTCAGCAACAGACGTCAGTAAAATGTCAAACCTTAGTTTCTGGGCTTCTGTCCATCATGTGCGTTGTACAACACATAGATGACATGTAGCAGTTGTAACCGGACTGAAAACCTGCTCACCCCTTCATTTTCCAACTCACCTGGTCTAAAGAGACCAGTCTAACCGTTAAAAAGACTCAGAGGATGAGCCTATAATCTGATGGCAAGCTTCAAAATGGAATGGTCGGTCAAATGCAGTGAATATACGTCTTCTTTTCTCTGCTCTTTTTCATCAGGTCAGTAGAAATGTCCCCATTTAAGACTAAGAGGGTTGTGGTACCAATTTTTAAATGTTTGCTTCTACTGGTTTGGAAAATGGTGATCTCTAATTTGAAGAATGACTGGGTTTCCCACTGATGTGTATCCGTACGTCTGAGTTGATACTTTGGTTTTGAAGCTCTGCTGCCCCCCCTCGACCCTCTGCACCTCTGAGCAGTATGAGGGCTTCACCTCCAGCTTCGCGTGGCTCACTTGGATGGGGACGCGCCTCTCTGTCCTGGGCCTCGTTCCGCTGGCTTGAGAGACGGAGGAGGAGGAGGAGGAGGAGAAGAGGCTGCTGGAGAGATGCTCCTTGAAGCGACCAAAGAAGCTGCTCCTCTGCCTCGGCACAACAGGCCGCCCCACGTTGAGGAGCACCGGTTGCCCCACTGCGGAGCCGCCGATCTCCCTCTGCAACACTGAGATCTCACAAGGCTTTTCAGCAGGAACGTTGGAGGAGCCGTAGGTCTCTCCTTCCTCTGGAACATAATCCTCCAAGTCCTCAAGGGTCAAAACATGATCTCCTTGTCTCAGGCTCTTAGGCTCCTGCTCTCTGGACAGAATGGGATCGTTATCTTCATCTTCAGGTTCAAAAATCACAGTTTGCTGATCGTCCAGGTCGTCGCTGTCGTTGCTGTCATCTCCAGCTGGAGTGAGGACCGTTGAGAGCTCACGTGGCTCAGCAGAGGGAGCGTTGCCCTGCACTTCCTCCCAGGAGAGCGGCTGGCTGCTGACGTCTCCTTGCAGCTCGGCCTGCGCCTGCTCCACCAGCTTGTTATTGGAGTTGTTAGCGTTTGGGTTTTCCAGTGGAGACCTTTTGGGTCTGGAGGGAGTGGCTGCACGATCAGAGCCTGCAGGTGAGATGCCTCTCCTCCTGAGCAGCCTGGGAGATTTATTGACCTTGTACTCAATGACCTCCTCCACCTCAACCCACCTGGGTTTAATCTCCATGGCTCTGGCCTCAGCACCCTCAGGCTCAGTGACGTAGAGGGTAGGGATAGTGGTCTTTCTTGGTGTCGGCATCCTCCTCAGCCTGGCTGCAGGGGGCTCTGGGGTGGAGGTTTCAGAGCGGTGGGCTGCAGTGAGAGTGAACCCGGGGGATCGGTGCCTCCTCATACGAGGGTTCTTCACCACGGTGGTTATAGTCTCCTCACTGGATTGAGAAGATGAATATAGATAATATTAGAGCTACTGATGAAGATATTCTGTGCAAAATACAGAGTTGTGTGCAGATGATTGAGTTTTGTTACTAAACATAAAAAAGATAACCCAACACAAAAATGGAAATTAAAGTGTGAGGTTACAGACGCCACATGCATTCAGGAGCATTGTGCACCATTTACCATGTATGGTTTAAAATAAGCCACAAATAAGTCAAACATCTGATTTTTGGTCTTTTACTATATAAATGAAATTGAATTGATTAGAAGAGACATATAATTGCTGTATTAGGAGCTGCTATAATAAAGCTGCTGGTTAAAGAGGACAACACTCTGGTGAAACCTGCCCCCACATTTCATCATCACTGTGTAAGAATCCTTCGCACTCCAGGTTTAAATACCACACAGTGAGGCCTTCACGGGGCCAATTACAGGAGCACACACAAATGTCCTCTGAGCCTTTGCTGTGTTTTAGCCAGTGGATGTCTGTGCAACAATAGAAAAATAATCTATACCAAAGAATCCAACTTCTGCACTAGAAGTCTGTCAAGAAACAAGAATCCAGACTTTAACAGATTGTCTGATATCAAAATATGAAGCTACATTTCTAACTCCTGTCTAAATGTCCCACAGCACAAAGTCACATTTCATGCATGAGGGTCATTTTAACTGAGTCACACTTACATGATGATGGTTTTCTTTGGTATTTTGGTTTCCTGCTCAGTAACTATGAAACAAGTGGAAAGAGAAAGATTTAGACAAGAAGACAAATGACCCGTCTACGCTAAACACATCCAGAGTTTAAGATGAATCCATCTTTAAATCTGTGTTAAAACAAATAATAATCATTATATTTCTACTGTTTCAGAACCTGAAAAAGATGATTAAACATAGTTTGGTTTGGATAAAGTACCTTCAATAGTGATGGCATGTTCACCAGTTCGGGCCACAGCAGAGGGTAAGACTACATCTGCTGCACACTTGGCACTGCCCAGACGATTAGACAGCTGGAAACAAAAGAGATATGTTTTTAAAGATGACTTGTTGTTGTTAACTCATTAGGATTAAGATTCTAAGATTCAGATCTTGGGTTTTAAGAGCAAATAAACTTGAACAGAACATAAGTGATATGATTCAAATATAATGTATTAAGTATTTTCCCAACCTCACACTCGTAGTGTCCCAAGTCTCTCTCTGTCAGGTTCTTTATTATCAAGACCAGAACTCCATTACGGAGCTCACTGTAGGTCTGATACTTTTCCTGGTCAGTCAGCAGCCGGCCGTCTTTAAACCACCTAGAACAATAAAAGATGAATATGCCGTTAGACAAACATAGATCTTCCATAAAACTTTTAACATTTAATCAAGATGATTTAAAGCTTTATAGTAACAAATAGAAGTGAGGTGTCAATACCTGATCTTGGGGTTGGGGGCGCTCTGTATGACACAGGTGAACTGAGCGTCCTCACCAGCCACAAAGATAGCATTCCTCATTTTATTCACAAAACGAGGAGGTACTGCCAGAAACACATCATTTACATTAATAACACATTAAAGCATCATAATGGTCATGAAAAAAAACATCTGCTTAGTCTTGACACAATCAAACTATACGCCACCTACCCTGAACCGTGATCTTTCCAAGAGTGCTGGCGTTGCCTGCTGAGCTCCAGGCAAAGCACATGTACTGTCCAGAATCATCAGCCGTCATGTTGTCCAGGATCAGTGTGCAGGAACCATCAGGGTCCTCAATAACGATGTGATGAGGGTCTGCCTCCACTGCACGTCCATCTGTACATGTAAACCAAGTTAGCCAGGAACTCAGAGATTGAAGGCCTGAACCATTTGTCTCAATTAGTCTATATATTGTCCATTACAGCAAAGGACCAAAAATATGGTGTGAATGTCATACCCTTGTACCAGGTGACTGTAGGTTTGGGTACTCCAGTGACTTTGCAAGCCAGTTTCACTGTCTGTCCCAGCTCTGATGTGCAGTTTGCCAGAATTTCATCAAAGTCAGGGGGACCTAGAAAAACAGATTAATTATAAAAGTTAATGTGATAAACGAGGTAATAAGAAAAGAAACTTATATTTAATATGGTGTGTTTGTGTGCTTGTGTGTCCAACTCACTCCATGCAGGCATGCTGTATCGCTGCTGCAGTTCTCTGAGGTCTCTCAGCCATGAGTTCTTGATGGTGACAGTTCGGGCCTGCAAAGTGTATTTCCTCACAGAGTCCTCACGTTCATGCCAGATCTCAAAGGCCCTGTCATCACCCTCCACCGTCTCATTCACATCAATGTTGTTCAGCTGCAGCAAGAAGAAGAATGATGACAGTAAAGTAGAAAGTCTCAGGGGAAAGGTGTGGTTATATAAAGAGTCTTACCTTCATCATGTTCTTAAAGACATATGCTTGTGTGTCAGTGTTGCTGTCTCTCTTGGGTTTGCAGATTATGCAGTAGTTCTTAAAGAGGAAGACGTGGCGGTGGTGACCTCTAGAGGACGACCTAATTCCAGGAGCTCCCTCCCACACTTGAAAGGGTCCCTAGTGCCAAAAAAAGAAAGATTCATAGACTGTCAAACATAATCAAGCTCCTATATTCTTCACTAAGTTCCTGGATTATAAATTATATCCTACCTGTCTAATTGGCTCTCCAAGTACTTCCAGGGTGGCGGGATAGTTTTCGATCATGGTGACATGGTGGGTGTTCTCAGAGCGCTGAGGGAGTCCAGACACCATTGCGTACGCTTCTTCCAAGAGGCAGCAGTTCTGACCATTTCTCGCCTTGTTTCGAATGAGCTCCTGAGGGTGTATCAAGAGTAGGAAACTTGATAGTGATACAGATCTAAAGCCAAATGCCCTTCACATACAAGTCATGAATCCTAACAGATATACTGAATATTCTTTGTCAAAGTTGTCACCTTGAGGAAAGCCTTGTATTTCTGAATCCTCTCCAGTGGTTGTTGCAGGTAGGTGTTTATGCTGCGTACAGGCGGATCTGAAGGGTCTGCACCAGCCTGCACTTTCTCAGTGTACTCCTACAGTGTGATGAAAGAAAGATTTTTAAATTAATTAATTCACCCTAATGACTGGGTATTTACAGAGTCATTTTATTTAAAACAGCAACAACATTTTTGTCTGTGGTGACAATGTAAGGGGCTCAGGTCCTGACGCACTGCAAAATCAACAGGAAAGCAAATAGCAAAAAGCTCTGACCAAACACGAGCTGTGTCACCTTGAAGAAGCGGTGGACAGCCTTGTCACTGACTGCAGATTCTGCCTGAGCCTGACCCACAAGATACTGGAGGTACTTCTCAAAGCCGTCCTTATTCTTCAGGAAGCACATGGCGACATCATCATCTGTGTCACAGTCACTCAACTTTGGGAGGAACGCTCTAAAAACAGAATTGCAGAGAAATTAAAGCACAGACGATAAAGAAAATCTCTCTTTTATTTTATTTTTTATTAACATTTGTGCTATTTAGCAAATCGTTGACTTAAATGAGGGGTCATAAAGAGGTGAGCTCACTTGCTGTGGAAGGACTTGATATCATCAATGTTCCTGAATATTGTTTCCTTTTGGCTGTTGACATCAGGAGGTGAATCAGGGCTGTCTGCTTGTTTCATGTGATGAGAGGTAAAGAAGTCAACCTCCTTTACAAACTCTGATTCACCATTTATCAGGTCCTGGAACAGTTGGCTAGAGACATGAAATAAAAATTATGATGCTGTCTTTGGCTCCAGTCTTTGATTTGGGAGTGTAGACAGTAGATAAGCTTTACTTACAATAATTTCTTCTTGTATTCACCCTCAGAAACCTCCTCTACACTTGTCTCTGGAAGGTCACCTGCATCAGCTGAGAGCTGAAATAACAAATGACCTTTAATATCGTGGTCTTTCAAAAGCTTCAAAACAATGAATGAGGTAAGTCTTGTGACATACCTTTAGTTTCTTGTCCAAGTAGGCAGGTGAGACCCAGCCTTGGCGGGAGGGCGTCGTTTTGGTTGGTTTGGTTCGGACCAACCATTTGAGCGGATGAGCTGAGTCCAAAACCTCAACGTACTGTCCCTCCTTCAGAGAGATTGATTCTTTGCTTGCTATGGTGGGGTTATAGTCCGCTGTTGCCACGTAGATATCGAACATCTGTAAAAATGTATATATGTAAAAATGTATGTACACATGAGGTTTTAAAAAAAGGTTGTGATAAGATTACATGAACTTGGTGTTCGCTGAAGCAGCTTATTCTTGAACAGTTTCTAGTTTAACTGCCATTAGTACATACCTGCCATATTTGGTTTTTGTTCAGATTCTGCTTGTTTCTCATATTTTTCATCTCCAGTTATGTTCATAAGATGCAAAATACAACATCACTTGTAAGTCCAGCCTTAAAATCTACCATAGGATCAAATCACCACACAAATAACTAAAGGAATTCTCAGCAAATTGAAACACTGCAGGGTTATTGTGTGGTGATGCATGATATTAGACAGGTATCTCTCTTTTTCTGGTCACTCTGTATCAGGTCATAATCAAATTTAAATTATATGAATTATCGAATAAAGTTGTGGTCCACAAATTTATGTCCACTGTAGAATACATGGATCATTTTCATATCTCACCTCCCCTCTGGCGTCCCCTTCATCAGACTCCGAGGAGGAGTCAGCGATGAGGGAGGGAGGACGAGAGCGACCGTGATGAGGTGATGGAGAAGGAGTCTTGGTCTCATCATCACTGTCAACACCAGGTACGCGTAATGAAGCTGGGGCAGAAAGGATGAAGGCAGGTGATCACAGGAACACCAGAAAGTTGCACAGGGAATTTAAACATGTAGCATTAAGAAATATTTTTTTGCTTACATTGATGTAGAAGATATTAATACACAAATTGGTGCACTAGCATGCATTGCCTTGCTTAACCCCATTCCATTGTCAGGTGTAGCATGAGATAGGAGTCATTCAAGTATTTTCTCAGTCCCTTGCTTCAGTTGATCACTTTAGCATTGCCTCTCAAGCTAACACGGACCAGCTATTTCAATTTTCTTAAACTCTCAATTTGTCAAAACTTAGCTGAGGCACAACAAGTCAAGTTATAACTGAGTGCCACATCTTCTGGATATATTTTAGTGTTTGTATGAGTAGACAATTGATTTATTGTAGGATTTCACAAAATGAGTATTATAGATAAAAAAAATACACAATTACATCACTTAAAATACTACTAATGACTATTGACTGTGTTAGTGTTGGCACAACATGCAAAACAAAAGTACAGTAGAGACAAAACATTTTTTTGTCTAAGCTCTTCACATACATGTCTGTGAACATGTATTCAAGCCAGAAGTTGAATCCACAGACTGTAAATAAAGATGGATGGCACGTCTCCACTTCTTCCATCTATCCAGAGAAGCAACATTTGGAGCATATTGCAATTGCGATCGGGGGATGGAGCCACAGCATCGAGGTCACGCTGATACACACACTCAACAATCGCGAGTCATTCCAGGCGACAGCATCAAACAACCAAACTTAGCAGAAATATACACCAGTGTTATAAGAACCATGTATTTGACGTGTATTTTAGTTTGGTCCATGTCCCATCCACTAACACAGAGGAGGTGGGATTTGTGATCAATATTGTGGCCAGCCACAAGGGGGCAATCAAAATGCTTTGGCTTCACTTTTGATGAGCTGTAAATGTCGTCCATCTTTACAAACAGTCGATGGATGAAACCAATTAGGAATAATATCCTGCTGCTGCACGGAGACAAGATAAAATGTAAAAAAAATGCAATTTAATACATAACATCTGTTTTCCTGGATGTATAATAAACTTATGTCAAAACTGTTTCTGTCCAAACAGTTTGTAATGAAGTTCAATGAGACTGTCTCCCTGAGTCATGTTCCTTATTAGTATAAGTATAATTATTATGAAGCTGATGCATTTGGGATACATACTGGTATTTTTGGGCCAAGATTTCATCCACTGGAGCACTTCATGATTCTGAAAGCTGTCTGAATAACAAATTAATGGTTGAATAAGCATTTAATTTGTTGTATTGATAAACTGGTGGATGTAAAAATGGTGAAGGAATGATGTCTGTGTGAATCAATGAGAGGTTTTGAGTCACAAACACATGGATAAAGCAAAACATGCTGAAGAAACAAGCACAAGAAAAGCAGCAAAAGACGTGTGTGAGGTTTGGTGTCAATCCTACATGTACTGGAGAGTGAATTCAAATTCAAGAATTGAAGTGTTAAAACATTCAGATACATTAATTCTTGAATAATCCGAATAAATTCACCGAACCAAACCTGACTGGCAAAAACACTGTGTCCAACATATAATAACTCATTGTAATATGTGGATTATCTATAACTGCATTGTTAGCATTAGAAAAGCCATTCACAACAAATTGCATGTTTCTTATGACACTGAGGTATAATATAGGAAAGGGACTGGTTCCCTGTAGATTTTCATTCCAACCGCAGATAGAAGGAGTTAATTTAAGAGAGGCGTTTCCTCTGGGATCAAAATGTATATACGTATTTGAATATAGGGCTTTGGTTACATATAGTTGTTATATGACTTTTAGCTTGCTGCGTGTATAGTGAGTTAATGAATTCACACCAAGTAAGTTATTATATCTCACCCCCTTTCTTTATTATTACTATTATTATTAGCTGAACATGCAGGTTGAGTGTTTATCATTTACTGGCTAAGTATCATCTCTGGAGCTGGTACATCTTCCTCTGTGCATATTCTAAGATAAGCAGATTTTCTTCAACTGAACTAGACAATACATTTGAACAACTATGATTCAACAACATGGTTTTATCTGGTCCAGGCATGATGTAACATCATTGTCTTAGCTCTAAGATTTGTTGCCAATTTTTAAGCTTCCCTTGTGGAATATACAGTATTTCTTTGGTAGAAATTGCTTTAAACTGTAACTTGAATTTCTATTAAATCTGAAATTAATAATGTAATTTTTTATTGCAAAGTTAAAGTTGGTCCATAACATAGACTTACCCTGAGTGATCTTGGCTGATACCATTTCAGTGATCTGGGAGGTGAGTTTCATAAGGAATTCCTCTGATCCTACTTCACCTAGGTACGGTACTTTTCCTTCTAAGGTGGAAAACAGGGGACAGGTGAATAAAAAAGAGGAAAGAACACCATAAATTTGATGCATTTATTACCACAAAAAAGATATTACTATAAATTTGTCTCACCTTTTCCAGTGCTAGCCTCTCCCTCTGGAGGACTGACTGTAATCCCAAGAACCCTGAGGAGAAATAAATGGTTTTATTTTCAGGTATTTCATATTTCTTTACACATTTCCACATTGAATTTCAAAGAAAAACTTACTCTGAGGCTTTAGTCTCTTTCTTTTGTTGTGATGCTACAGAAAAGAGGGGGACACATACATCTGAAAAGACAAACTCTGAGGCAGTATGAGGTTTGCTTCTAGTTTTAAGATCCTCTCATGACATCATAATTTTGACATTAAGTGCTCAGAATGTTTTTGTCTTCCTTACCGTCATCCACCTCGAGGTGGGCCGTGCAGATGGACTGTCCTGCTCTGTTTGTAGCAATACAGGTGTAGGCACCAGTGTACTCTGTGCCCACATCCATCAAGATGAGGCTGTGCTGGCGTCCAGAGCTTGCTATTTTATACCCCTTGGTATCAGGCTTAATCCACAGGACATCCTCCACTGACTCCTCCTTTAGCCAGGAGACCATGGGCGTGGGAGATCCTGAAAGGTAAAAGTGGGTACGGTGAACTTTGAATCGAAAGCAAAATTATGGAAAACCTAGGAGCTGGATAAAATCTTGAGTCATATCAATGAGATCTGATCCTGTTAAGAAAAAATAAAGGGTAAGAAGTGAACAAACCTTCTACTTTGACAGACAGTGTAATGCTTGCTCCTTGTTTCACCTTCCTGTTGCTGAACCTTTCGAGGAAGCGTGGTGGCACCAGAGGTTCTTTGGAATCTGAGAAAATACAGTATAGGACAAGAGCAATGTCACAATTAATATAGTATTATATCTATTAACTTAACTGTACCAAATGTGTAGATTAAAGTTAGGTTACCTTTCTTATCTTGTGGCATAATCTCCCCTGGACCTGTTACATAACACAATTGTTACTGTCTGTGAGTATTTTATAAACAATTTGTAAACTCGAAATAATTTCAAATATGATTATTCCCGACTTTTGCATACATACCTAGAACTATCAGTCTGGCAGAGGAGTACGCAGAACCAGCTGCATTAGTGATGTAAACAGAGTACTCCCCCATATCTTCTTTCTTCACCTCCAGAATCTCCAGGCCGTGAACATCTCTGTCTGTTAGAAACAGGATTCTTTTTGAAGGCCGCAGAGGGTGGCCATCTCTAAACCAGTATAATCTGGGTTTGGGGAAGCCTGGAGGACAAAAGATATTATTCTTAATTCATAGGCAATTTTATGGAAGTTGACTTTATAAGACCATTCAAACAAACTTACCTTTTACTTTAAGTTGCATTTTAGCAATAGGTGAACCTGGACAAACATGAACATCATGAAGCTCCTCCAAAACCTGTGGTAACTGATCATCTTCAGCCACAGACTCAAAGGTCTCAGTTTCCCTGTATGAGAGCAGCAGCATAGATCACATCAAGTGTTCATGTCATGTTAATATTATAAAATACCTTTACTGAAACATCTTTCTAGAAATGCTTAAACAGTTTGTAGTTTATTCACCTGGACATGTAGCCTTTGGCACTGACATATGAAGATGTCTCAGTGGCATCAGCAGCAGTGTCATAATCTGAGCTGCAAGACACTGATGGAAAGGATTGATATTCAGCATTATATAATCAATCAGGGAAATAAAGGACAATGTGTTCATCACTGTGTTTATATGATTCTGTATATAAGTCTGCAGTTTTATTTAGAGGCAGTTTGAGTTTTGGACTTTGGACAGACACAGGTATTTGCATTCGGAATGTTATACATGTTCACTTACAGTCAACCCTGAGTTCGGCCTTAGTGGCTGCGATGCCGCTGCTGTTTTCAGCTGTGCAGCGATAGACGCCCATGTCAGTGGGCAGCACAGAGGTGATGATGAGTTGGTGGCAGCCCTCCAGATCCTCATTTATCATATAATGGTCATTTTCCTCCAGCACTTTGCCATCTTTGAACCAGCGGACAGTTGGAGGAGGCTTGCCAATCACAACACAGTCAAAGCTGACGGGATAACCATCTGGAACGTCTTGGCTTTGCAGCTCTGTCAGAAAAACTGGGGCAGCTGGATAACGAGACCAAGTAGAAAGTAAAGTTAAAAAATGGCTGAATAAAGCATGAATCAGCACTAAACTGAATATGTTGTTAGGTATGTTTGTAGTAACAAAGTCTTACCCTGGGCTCCAGCCATGAATGCAGGAGGCTGTCTTTCTTGTGTGGGGGTCTGTGTGCCATCTTGGATGTAGCCCACCTTTTTAATTCTCAACTCCATTCTAAGAGGCCCTGCCTCCTGGATGGTTGTCTCTACAGGAACTCCGTGGATTGTAAACATCTCCTGGAACCTCTTAGAGGCAACTTCAGCCTCTGTCCTTGAATCAAAGCGAATGTAGATGTAATTGTCATCCTCACGGTAAGACTGAGGATCTGGGGCTCGCAGGTCTCCTTCATCTGCACTGACAAATGGTTCTTCCTCAACATCTGGTGGGAGACATGTGCGCAACAGGCGGCGGAGACGTCTGCTCGCCTTCCTCAGTGACTCGTCCATCTCACTACCTGAGGAGCTCTCAGGCTCACTGTCCGCACTGTAGCCCACCGTCAGTGGCCGTCGCCCAGAGGATTCTCTCACTGTCCCTACTGTGACCTTACCGCTATGAGAGTTGACTCCGAACTTGTTGGTGACTTCACAAGTGTAAACTCCTGTATCCTTTGTGGTGATGGCAGTGATGACCAGTGAGCAAGTGCCATCATTATAGATATCAATATGGTGGTGCTTGCCGTCAATTAGTGGTTCACCATCCTTCATCCAACACACCTTTTCAGGTTTACCTTCTGCCACACATTCCAGATGGATGGTGCCATTTGGTTCTTTGGTCTGATCTTTAAAGACATCTTTGAAGACAGGACGCATGTCCTTACGGGCCTTGTACCCCTTGAAGGCAGCTTGAATTTTGATGGCGGCTTCTCTAAGCTCAGGCTCATCCTCTTTACTGATCTCCATGATGTTTGTCTCCTCTGTAGTCACCTCTTTTTTATCTGTCTGATGAACTGTGGTTGTTTTCACTTCAGTTTGCAGCAATGTTCTCTGCTCAGCCATCTGGAAATTTGCAAAGAACCTCTCAGTGGTCATTGTCTCTGCTTCATTGACGGCTGTGACAGTAGATTTGCTGCTCTTCTTGAGGTAGGACACAAGTGTAGGACCCCCTGAAAGAGATTCATCCTCAGAGCTGGTGCACAAGTTGGACTCTGTCTGCTTCTTAGACACAATGGCCTTCTCCTTCTCTTCAGATTTGGTTTCCACTTTCTCTGAGGACTTTAGATCCTTCTGATCTGATTGTTTTTTACCACCTTTACCATCGTCTTCAGGTTGTTCAGTGATGGAGTCCAAAGTGGGCTCTCGACTCATGCGACGTTTCTTAGCCGAAGCCTCCCACAGCTCGTGGACATCACCTTCCTCAGCAGCTTCTGGAGGCAGATTGGGCTGCCCCAGGGCCTCTGGCTCGCCCTGTTTTGCCTCTGTACCGATAAACAAAATGCAACTTACTATGACAATTGTTCAAAAAAAGGGCCTCAGATGTTGTTTGCGAGGGATATGAATGTGGAGGTGTTTAACTACAATAGAATTTGTAGGATAAATATAAGAAACCTACATAACAAATACATTGTCTTACCTGGACTAGTTGGTGGCTGTGTAGGTGCCTCTGTGTAACATAAAGAAAACAAACACAC